CTTATGGTGTTGATGAGTTCTTTTGTGCCACCATACAGAGTAGGATTTCCAAATATAACTCTCATCATATGCTAATCTACCAAGTTCAAAATTTTATATTTGATAATGGAAATCCAAACTAGTCCTGATTCACGGTGTTGATGAGCTCATTCGTGCCACCATACAGAGCAGGATTTCCAAATATAACCCTCGTCATATGATGCCAATTTTCCAATTTTTTCAAACTCCAACTGCGGTAAAGGGGAGGGACATCGTATTAGTCACAGAATTAGCATTTTAAAACAAGCGGCCTGTCAGCTGAGATAGCTCTGCTGTTAGCAATACACATTTCAATTGAAGAACTGAAGATACATGTATCATTAGAAAATGAACAATATGTATAGTATCAAAGCAATCAGACTTGCTGTTTTCAACAAGACCTCTCTCAGATTTGTTCATTTCATGATGATATCTTCAATTCTCTAATTTTGGTGAATATTTTTGTCATTTTTGGTAAAAAGTGATATTTTCGACTTCTTGTTAAAAACCGCAAGTCCAATTGCTTTGATATTGCATATATAGGTACTACATGTGGACCTCTCTCAGATTTGTTCATTTCATGATGATACCTTCAATTCTCTAATTTTGGTGAATATTTTTGTCATTTTTTGTAAAAAGTGATATTTCCAACTTCTTGTTAAAAACCGCTAGTCCAATTGCTTTGATATTGCATATATAGGTACTACATGTGGACCTCTCTCAGATTTGTTCATTTTGTAATGATATCTTCTATTCTCTAATATGGGTGAATATTTTTGTCATTTTTGGTAAAAAGTAATATTTTCAACTTCTTGTTAAAAACCACAAGTCCAATTCCTTTGATATTACATATATAGGTACTACATGTGGACCTCTCTCAGATTTGTTCATTTTGTAATGATATCTTCTATTCTCTAATATGGGTGAATATTTTTGTCATTTTTGGTAAAAAGTAATATTTTCAACTTCTTGTTAAAAACCACAAGTCCAATTCCTTTGATATTACATATATAGGTACTACATGTGGACCTCTCTCAGATTTGTTCATTTTGTAATGATATCTTTAATTCTCTAATTTTGGTGAATATTTTTGTCATTTTTGGTAAAAAGTGATATTTTTTTCTTGTTAAAAACCACAATCATTTATGGTGAAAAATGATATTTTTGAATTCTTGTTGAAAACAGCAAGTCCCATTGCATTGATACTATCCATATTGTTCATTTTCTAATGATATCTTCTGTTCTTTAATTGAAATTTCAGTAATAAATATTTCATACTGGCCAAATTGTGTTACCATATGCAATCAGAATTCCAAGTTTTTTTAGTCATACAGTGTTGGAAATCCAACCTCATCAACCGGTATGTGGCGAGATAAATTAGGCCACATTTAATTTAGTAGCCATAACTGCCTGGATTTCTAGGAAAAAATTTTCCATACACGTCTGGATTTCCAGATTCTGTTTCTCCATATACAGTTGGAATTCCGGGGTATTTTCCCCATCATACAGTGCTGGAAATCCGACCTCATCAACAGGGGGGTGCAGATATAAACTGGAATGGCCCAATAGAACAAATTTTTTTTTTTCCAATGACAAGAATAATTTTCATGACAGAAATGCAAGGTAGCTGTTATGAAAGATGGTAAAAAAGTTGGAAGTCTTCGGCGTGACATTGGAAAATTGCTGGCCCCAGTTATGGATTCGCAAGCTGCTACCAACTATTTTATGAAACCAAAACAATGTGATTTCAAATACGCTCCTGGGTATGAGTTGCTACAATATTGCAAAATTGGTTTCATTGTTGATGACGCTAAAGCCGAACAAGTGTGTCTCTGTAAGATTTGCTTGTACCGGAAGTCAACTGTTAATACAACAAACAAAAAATAGGTTTTAAGACCCCCCTGGGCGTATGACCTCAATTTGTTTGTTTTTCAAATCGGATTAAAAATGGCCATTTTGTTTCAATAAATACAGTTCTAGAGCCATATCTCTGATATTCATTGACTGTTTTTTTGTTTTTTTTTAAATTTTATATATTCATTATACATCATGTCATAAATACATGTATACAGATGTATTGGCCAATTTGTTTTAATCAATGCTTTTCAAGAGCAATTTTTCCCAATATGGACAAGTACTCGTTTGACGATCAGATACTAGATGACTGAATGTCAAACACCATAATCAAACAGCAGCTTCATGATCCATATCTCTGACATGTTTATGTTCTAACTATATTACTATAAACAAAATTATATATCTTAAATTGGATAACTAACTGGAACTGTGCCATGCATGGTTTGTTTTCTTTAAATATTACCACATAAAGATGACCAAATCTTACCAAAATATTGTTTTAGACACAATTGTATGGGCAAAGTGACCCTACACAAAGCTAATGAAATGTGTTGTGAAAACAAGTAGTTGACATTTTGTTGAAATCTGTCTCACGATGGGAACCGTAGAAAATTGTGATGTATAACTAACACTTTTATTGGAAATAACTCATCAAATCTTCAGTGAAAGGCTTAGCTCCCCAAGATGGCAACGTATTTGACATTTTGCCCAGGACCCCTAATAAAGTTTTCATCTTGTATTGTAATCCCTGAGGTTGGCTTGACAAAACTGGATTTCAAAAGATGGCGCCCTCTGGAGACCCGGGTGCAACCCTGCGGCCATCTTTTTCTGCTTGCATGTGATTTATTATACAATGTCGATATATAACATTATATGATTCAATGTCCACATTTCAGCGATGGCTTTTACAGATTGACACTAAAGACGCAGGAAATGATTTATTAAAAATAAAAATGAGAGAAAAAAGATTGATTGTAAGCCTTGAACAACAATATCCTTTCATAAGAGCGATATACTAATGTAAAAGTGACAGCCATCAATTTCTGCATGGCTAAACAGGATGAATTATTGGTGATAATAATCTTTGTCAATCACGATAAATGTTTTCATTGTGTACATTGAAAACATAGAATGGCTTAAAGCAGGGGGGGGGGGGGGTTGTCAGCTTCGCATGTGGCATTGCGTTTTTAGCGTGCATTGTTGTCATCCCTGGAACTCAATTCCCGAGCATGCGCATGTGACAAATTCACCGATTTAACCGGTGAATTATTTCTGGCTTACAATTACAGTTTCAAATGGTGATGGTCAACTGTCAAGGAATGTTGTCATAATCCAATCCAATCCAAATGCATCGTGTCAATACACCTAAGGTATGAATGAAATACATCACATACAAGTGTTGAAATTTATAAACAATGTATTTTTAATGTTGCATGAGTCTTATATTGAACACAATATACATCAAAACAACCATTGGTTTGACAATATATTTTACTCCCCAATTTTGCCTTATTATTAACAATTATCTAACTAATTTTCATTGCATGAGTTCAATTATTTTTTTTTTTCCCATTTGTAAACTGATTATATAAATAGACAATGATGTATCGGTTCCTCAAAAGCATGTGTGTGGTTAGTTGTGCTGGCACACAGAAGCCATGTGTGTGTTAATCTGCGTGTTTGTTCTGAGGGCATGCAGATACATTTTGTACCATGCAGGACAAGTGTGCATGTAATACTGACTCTTTTATTACTATAAATAAAATCCATTAACCTTGCAGTAAAACTGGTTTTCAGTGTGGATTCTTTGGAGATGTTCATGTAATGAATTAAGCGGGAAGCTAGGTCCAGGTTCAAAGTTGTCAGGGTCAGTATTCAATCTGTCATTCAGTATACTTAAGGTAGAGATGCAGTTTACCTGACAGGTATTTTATGTAGTTAATTAGGAAACCAAGATGACCTCCCTTGTCCACAAAACTATATATTTTCATAAAGCTTATTGTATGAATTTTAAAATTTTGTTAGTATTTTTTTCATGGACACTGTAGTTTGAAATATGCACAAAAATGTGCTTTTTTGGTCAAAAATGATTTAAAAAAAATTAGCTTCTAAACCATGCTTCTGTTTCCTGTCAAAATTTGGTTTTATGTGTACATCTGTTTACTATGAAGAAAGTGCTGTCTTGAAAACTGTCTACCAGTTGTCAATTTTGCAGGACAGCAGCTCAAATTTCACTACTTCAAGTTTATGCATAAATTAACACCCAGGCTAGTTGTCTGTACGATTGTTGTAATACTGTTCAAATTTCAAAACAAAAGGTCAAAGCGTCTAGGAGCT